ACAATTCACTTGATTTATCTGAAATCTCCCTATCCTACTTTTTTATTATTATCTAACAGCCCAAATACCTTCCTTACGCATTTCTGGCATCTGATATATTTAACTATTTTAACCATCTTTTGCATTCATGTTTCTAGCAAATATACCCAGATAATACTAAGAGATTTGCCTGTGTCTTCTTGGATAATTGCTTAGAAGTGCAGCAGAAGATGATCTCCAGAATTACAGAGGGAAGAAACTTACTGGTGAAACAGAAAACAATAGATGAGGGGGAGCCTAAGATACCAGAACCAATTAGAGAATCAAAACATTCCAAAAGGGCTTGCACATATAATGAGGAATATCAGTCAATTAAGGACAGGAATAAAAAAGCACGCATGTTTCTCCTGCTCAGAGGGCAGTGCAGGTTTGGGGCTCAAATGAAGACAGTGGGCATTGACAGATAAGTCAGCTTTTGACCAATTCAAGGTTCTCAGGATTTTACACAGGCATTTCATGTATAATAGCATTGTGGGGGGTGGCTTACATTGTAAACAGAAAATGCTTACAATGTAAAGAAAGTAACACTAAAAGCAATAAAACTTCATAGGAGAACTTAAGGCAGGAGCATGAAACTTAAGTGGACTAGAGGACCAAACTCCTTACCCAACAGATGCCAAGGGGTCACAGTCATTTGTTTTCAGCAGAACACAACCAGTTACACTTGCATTCAGCATCATTAATTCAACCTCAACTGAAAAATGAATCCAACCCATCTTCCCACATGCTACTAAATGCTGGCCAAAACCCTCCTAGTGACCAACTTTGCTTCCATCAGCACCTCAGTCCTGGCAACCCAAATGTCCCTGCTACTGTAGGCTCCTTTTCTGTAGGCCCAAAGCTATCACCTTTCTGCTCCTTCTCACATAGGTTCAAAAGCAGGCAAACAGCAAACACCACACTCCATTCTGTTCCACACATTGCACTGTAATTGATTCTTGCTCTACTTACCCTTTTTGTCAACACTGTTATTGTTATCACAGATGCAGGAAGCAAGGCTGGGGTTTTGGCTATTGGCAAATCAGTCTCTTTCCCCTACTAAGGCTATCCCTGAATATATCTAGCAATTTATATACAATGGAGTAGGATTTCCCAACAGCACCCATAAAGTGACTGATAATCAGTACTGAATCTGCCTTGGTCACCCTGTACGACGACCTGTGCAGGGAGAAGGACAGGGGGAGTACATCCCTGTTGGTTCTTCTGGACCTCTCGGCGGCTTTCGATACCATCGACCCTGGTATCCTTCTGGATAGACTTGCGGGATTGGGGGTTGGAGGCACTGCTTTGCAGTGGTTCCGCTCCTATCTCGACGGTCGATTCCAGAAGGTAGTGCTGGGGGACCATGTCTCTACGTCATGGCAGCTATGCCATGGGGTACCACAGGGCTCCATTCTATCCCCTCTGCTATTTAACATCTATATGAAACCGCTGGGAGAGGTCATCAGGAGGTGTGGGCTGCGGAATCATCAATACGCTGATGATACCCAGCTTTACCTCTCATTCTCCACTAATCCAGGTGAGGCAGTGGCTGTGCTGAACCGGTGCTTGGCCGAGGTAAGGGAATGGATGAGGGCCAATAAACTGAAACTCAACCCAGACAAGACGGAGGTCCTGTTGGTTGGCGGATCGGGTTTCGGAGAGGGTGGATTTGACCTGGTCCTGAATGGTGCAACACTCCCTCTTAGGGATAAGGTCCGCAGCTTAGGAGTACTCCTCGACCCGGAGCTCTCTTTGGAAGCTCAGGTGACAGCGGTAGCGAGGAACGCCTTCCTTCAGCTTCGGCTGATTAATCAGCTGCGCCCCTACCTGGAGTACGACTGCCTGGCGACGGTGACACATGCGCTGGTGACTTCCCGCCTAGACTTCTGTAACGTGCTTTACGTGGGGCTTCCCCTGAAGACAGTCCGAACACTTCAATTGGTGCAAAATAGAGCTGCCAGGCTGCTGACGGGGACGGGGCGTTATGCTCACATGACTCCAGTCCTCCATCAGCTTCACTGGCTTCCCATTGAAGCCCGGGCCCAATTCAAGGTGTTGATTATGACCTACAAAGCCCTAAACGGCTTGGGTCCTGGCTACCTGAACGAGCGCTTACGTCCGTATATGCCCGACCGCCCTTTGAGATCTGCGGGAGAGTCCCTTCTCCGGGAACCCTCCATGAAAGAAATTAGGAGAGTAAGTACCCGGAGGAGGGCTTTCTCTGCGGTGGCACCCAACCTATGGAATTCACTCCCCAAAGAGGTCCGCCTGGCACCGTCGTTACTGGTTTTTCGGCACCAGGTAAAGACCTTTTTATTTAAACATCATTTCAATTGTTAAAACATATGATCTGGCCTGGGCAACTTCTTCTTCCTTCTCTTTCTCCTCCTATATTTTTATTTTATACTGATAATTTTAATTTTGTATTTGTAAATCAATGTATTTTTTGTATTTTTATATTTAATGGTAATTTATTATGTACTATTGTATTTCAATGTATTTTATCATGTTGTAAGCCGCCCCGAGGTTTCGGCAAGGGGCGGCATAGAAATGTTATTATAATAATAATAATAATAATAATAATAATAATAATAATAATAATACTACTACTACTACTACTACTCTTGGTCCTTTCTGATGTAAGTTTATCATGTTAATCCAAATGAGTGATAAAAGGAACTTTGCCTTAAGAGAAGGAAAGTTTTGTCTGCTTGATTTTGTCATGTTTACTAACAAGCTTATTTATTATTTTATTTATTTTTTCGATTTATATCCTGCCTTTTTCCTACAAAGGGCTCAAGGCAGCTTACATTATCTCTCCTCCTCCATCTTATCCCCACAACAACAACCCTGTGAGGTAGGTTGGGCTGAGAGACTGTGACTGGCCCAAAGTCACCCAGTTGGCTCCATGGCCGAGCGGGGACTCGAACCCAGATCCTCTGAGTCCCAGTCCCATGCTCTTAACCACTACACCACACTGGCACACTGGCAGACTTCTTTATACATGAGCAGCTCTGGTTTTCTGTATTTGTTTGAAGCAGGAATCCAATGACCTATTTCATCATTCTGGAGAAAATGGCCCTAAGTTATCCCCAAAATTAATCTTGAATCTATTTTCTTTCTGTTTTGCCTCCAGGATTATCCACTGATCGTTTTGCCACTTACAAAACACACCTAAAGCTGAGAATATGTCGCGGTTCAGTAAAATACCATAAGAACAAGTGGTGGGTTAGAAAATTACCTGTAAAACTCAAGAAAGTTCTGCACATACTATGTATTGGTACCTCAGGAATGTTCATCCACCTGTGTGTACTTGTTGATAAGTTATTGGAGTTAAAGCTCACAGCTAAATATGGTTGGTTTAATCTAATTCAGTAATTTTGTGGTGTGTCAAACATTGGGGAGTGGGGTTTCATTCAGAATAGTCTCATGCTAGTACACAAATAAGTCCCAGATAAAATATTCTATGTCTGTTTGTATTCACTGAACTGCTTAAAACATAATCTTTGCATGATGGTATTTATCAGCTCTACACTTCAGAAAACTGCAGAAGATAGGATTGACATTTGGACTGTGTTCTGTAAGAACATTCAAGCTGTGCCAGAAGTAATATAAATAGTAAGACTGTATTTTGCCCCATTCATAAGTGAAGGTCAGTACCATGTTCTTCCATAGTTGGATAAGTACATCTTCTGAACAATCTGTAACTATAACAGTTAATAGCACTTAGAGTGACTTGAAGAGAAAATAGCTTTGTTTGCTATCTGTTTCTTTGAGGCATGAGTACATCTAACAGAAACTCAAAATAACTGTTCACTGAAAGAACACAATACTCATGCATTTATATAGATCCCAATTCTCCCCCTCTTCCCAGTAGAAACTATTAACCATCTTTTAAAAAGTAAATACATTCTTAAGTATTTATTATGTTGCCCAGGACACAGCTAATGTTTTATAATGGAAGTCTTTTGGTAGAATCAGCTTTCTCTGTGGAACAACAAACTATACTGCATAGGTCTGAATAATTTTTTTCTGAAAATAAAACTTTCTTCATAAGCAGAACAATTGGATAATGACCAGCTAGCTGAAGCATAATATCTGCAATCTGATGCTGTGCCTGTGTTGCAAGACATTATTGGAGTTTTAAAATAGAAGATGGAAAGACTAGAAAAATGAAGGAGTTAAGGAGGCACTACATTTCTAACAGTACGGTTTACTAATAAGATGCAAAATGTATTAATCCCAGCAAGTCTCTTAAGTAAAATCTTAAGATGGATTCAACCATTCAGCTAAGGTGTCTTGGATATGGTTTTCCTCTACAAGTGCCAGGGCAGATTCTGATTGAACCATGCAGAGAGGCAAATGGGCAGTTGTGCCAGTAAACAGTGGAAAACTGCTTTTTGTCAACATATTACCAATGAATATTACATAATTGGGCATGTTATGTTAGGTCCGCAGCTTGCTGAATTTAGTGAAAAACAAAGTTGACATAAACAGGACACACATACTTGTGCCTTTAACGTTTTGGAGTGTATTGTACAGACCAGAGGAAACGTTTTTAAAAATAGCTTCAATCCAATGTTGCCCAGACTGCAGAGGGAGGAAAAATCCCTTCTGCCACTGGTTTCTCTTCTGTTGACAGAAAAACACAATTGGATTCAAGTCATTTTTGACATGTAATACTAAGTGTGCATTACTGTGGCTGAAAAACTGCAATTCAAATAAGTATGTGCCACAACATATTGAAACCTAATTTTAGGAAAAGAAACAGAAAATTGCCAAGTCTTACTTTTAGTTTAAATACAGCGTTTTTGGGTTTTTTTTTTTCTTTTTGGTAGGGTATACCTTTCTACTCTGTAAATAAAAGCAACTGCACCCACACTGAGTCTGTAGCCTTTAGTCACTCCTAAAGGGTTCCTTGGCACAAGTTCACCAGAAGAAAAAAAATCCTTACAAGACGTCATCTATATTCAACTTACTAGGAATAGGTCTAAGGACGTCAGGAATGAGAATCTCCACCAAAGCCTGGTACATCACATGGTCACAGTTACACATCCATTTCAGAATTGACTCATTTTTGCACAGAGTAATCAGCTTTGCTTTCGGAAGTCGACTTTCTATTTCACTCAGATTGCTGGTGTGAACAAATGTATTAAATGAATAAATGAAAATGCATTTACATGAAGATAAAAAAGAAGAACAATGGACTTCAAAGCTTTTTTAAATAAAACATTAGAGATGTCTGGAACGCGTCCCATTGCCTTAAGGCACTTTGTGTTGTAATGGCTGATATATGGCCTCCAGAGTTTTAGCCAAAGAGCACCATTTTATGCAACAGTGATAAGAATGGTCTTTGGATTGGATATTATTTCATGAGAAAATAACTTGGCCTTATTCACTTAAAATAAAATGATATGCATACAAATATGTACTGCAGTTATAATAAGCAACAATTTAATCTAGAAATTAAGGAAATAGCATTCCTACTTAATATGCAATTTTTTGTTTTTATTTTATTTGAAAATTACATTAAAGTACAGGCACAAGCTCTGAAAAGTAATTACTAACCTTGGTTCAGTAATAGTAGTGCCATCAGTTGTTGTTGAGGGAGAATAGCGCCAGAAAGTCTGCCACAATTTTTCTATTAGGCTAAACTGAAGGTTCACTACAACATCCAATATTGCCTGAAAATCCAAAGCAGATACAGATATTCTTTCAATGAACTGAAAATATTGAGCACTGAATCTAAGCACACAAAGGGAGTAAGTCCTACTGAACTCAGGGGAGCTTCCTTCTGAGAATATGTGTAAGCTCAAAATAAGTAAGGAATTTGAAAAATTATTGGAGCTGGCGAACATATGCATTAGCTGACTTTGGGGTTGCACTTTCTTCTCTAATTCTGATCCTAAGTAACTCAAAACCAATTTCCTAAACTCTTCCCTTGCTAACTATGGTCAACATCTGCACCACACTGTCTTTAAATGGTTTTGAAGATAGTGTCAAGAACTGGATAATAGCAAAACAAAGAAAAGGGTGTTGTAGTTGTAAGCTTAACTATGGATAAATCTGGGGGGATTTGTGAAGCAGGGGAGCAATGATGGGCGATAACAGTTAAGGCAGTCAGATATTATGGGGAACAAAGGTAAGAGATCAGACGTTACGTGTACTCTGATACTTGGGATTGCAAGCAGAGTCCTACACAAAAATAGGATTAATGCAAAGCATTTAATACATTATTTTAATACTGGGCAATTTTTATCTTGATCTTTCCAGTAACAAGCTAGTAACTAACATTAAATACCAAGACCACAACCTAAATAACTGCATCCCAGTGATAATTCTGAGTTGTTTTAAATAGCTTCTCATGCTGTACACACCAAGAGGAGACTCTGAGAGGATCTTTTAGCAACTTATAATATGTGTGGGGATGTCATGTGGAGGAGGGCCGTGATCTGTTCTTCCCTGCAGTGGAGGGCAGGACGCATTCCAGTGAGGTAAAGTCCAAGGAACCAGGCTTCAGGTTGGATGTCAGAAAGTACTTCCATCAGTGAGGGTGTTCAAGGAAAGACTGGACAACCGTATGTCGGGGGTTACATGAACAGAGGTGGCTGGAGCTGCTGGTCAGGTCCCTTTTGACTCACTTTGTTTCTATGCTTCTAATATGCTGTTCAGTACAGCATACAAAGAATTTCAGTAAGTGTAAGTCAGCCTTTAAGAATACCTAAGGCAGATTTCCAGTCTCTAGTTCACTAGTGCATTTTCCCAAATGCACACATATTTGATGTGTGTCTGATATTTTATTGGAAGTCATATCTGAATCTCTTGACCGCATGAGGTAAAACAGCTTTGTAGAATCTCTCTTTCCTACCTCACAGTGTTCTCGATAGAGACTCTGCAATGACTTGATATCCTCAAAAGTAGTACCATCTGGCAGAGAAGATATTTCAACTTCTCCAAACTCTGGAAGTGCTCGAGATGCATCTGTTTCCATGACAACATAATGGAAAAATATCATAGACTGTATCAATCACAGTTTAATTAGGAAAACATTATACAAAAAATAAATATCAGAAAGGTCAAAGTATTGGATTCAAAACCAGAAAGGTATTAGGTTTTATTAAAAATTTAAGTTTTTATGTTTTGAGGGTACAGCTAAATCATTGCCAAAGGCAAAATAATTATCCATCTGTGTAAAGACAATAGTATGACACTAGAACTGAATGAATCCCATCTGTTATTTATAAAAGCCTGGGCTAGAAAGTCATGATGAGGATAAGTTGATTTATTCTGTTAAACCAAGTTGTTTTCTTCAGACAACATCATCAGAATACAAAATATATGGACTTGGTCAGTCCAATCCTTCAACAGTTCTAAAATCAAAGGATAAAACAGAATAATTTTACTGCTATGGTTGAAAGATCACTAGAACATGCACCTGTTCTCACTTTTGTTATCAGGCTGAACTGATCCATTTTGGAAACTTCATGCTAACAGAAACTTGCTAGTTTCCCAAATGCAAAAGAAGGGACCAAACTGAATGTCTTTGGAGTATGAATGGCAGTTTCAATTAAGCCCCATACCCTTGTTAGAAACCAGTAACTATATACAGTTATATTTATACAAGTGGTAAATTAACAATCCATAACAATAACAACAGTCCCAATGAACACAGGCAATAGACAATACTAGTTATTTTTTCCTTGGGATAGCTACCTCTATAATATACTTCTCACATACCCAAAAACTGTTGATGGTGCTGACTTTGGGCAATTACAGTTTGTTCAACAGATGTGCCTGTCTGCTGACCACTTGTTGTGAAACTGTCTGCGACTCCATCCACTTTCTGCATAGGCTTGTACCTAAAATATATTAGATGGAATATAAAACATGATTAAGCCTTTTTCATCTTTTTCAAGTTAATTACTGTATGATGCAATCTTTCAGCTTTAATTGCTATGTATTTTAGATCATTTCCTTTGTTTCCAAGTGTAATCTTAGCCTATAAGGTTAGCAATAAAGAAAAGGTAACCATCTTAGATTTCTTTATCACTTTTCCCTGTACAATTTCCTCAAGCTGTCCATTTAAGTTCTAACGTTTGTTTTCCATGGAAATCAAGTCTGGAAAGAAGTGATGGAACTATAAAGGTAGGGTGATTACAACTGGCTTTATATTACTTTAATACTACACCCTGGGTGTATTCTGCACATAAGTTAAACCATTCTGAGAAGCAGCCACAGTGGGTTGATTGCTTATTGAATAATCCATTAATATCATTATCACATTGCATTTATATCCTGCCTTTCTTCTTCTTGAAAGGAACCTAGGGTAGCTTATCAAGTTCCCCTTTCCATTTTATCCACACAACAGCCCTGTGAGGTAGGTTCAGCTGAAAGGCAGTGACTGTCCCACAGCCAACAACTGGGTTTCATGGCTGAGTGAGGACTAAAACCAAGTCCCAGGTCCAGCATCCCTAAGTGCCAGGCCACGCTGGCTCTTGATGGTGTCCAAAGATGATAATCCTCTACGACTTGTTCTGATTCACTCCTCCTGGCAGCTCCCAGAGGGTAGCCTAGTGACTTTTGCAGAAAAATTCTATTCAGCAATCTTTTGCTCACTATGTCAATACCTTTTTTATAATTGGTCCGATGAATGCTCTGGACATGTTTTGCCTTTACTGGGTCCTCATCGAAACTTCCACTCCTCCCTCTTGGCAGATCAATACCAAAACACAATACTTAATCTTTAAATATAAATTGTAAACTCACCACATTCCTTTTGGTGGTTTTCGTTTTTGTATTGTGCCTCATCCATGCCTTTGCCTGCCCAAGAAGTGGGTTTCATTTATCGTCTCTCCCTTACACTCCCTCCATTCCCTGATAGTCACAGAAGCACTGAGAATTCACTATTCCAGACAGCCAATGCTGTCTGCTGGACATAGGATCCAGGAGATCTGGGTTCTAGCTCCCAGTCAGCCATGAAGCTCACTTGGTGATTTGGAGGCATTCATGGACTCTCAGCCTAACCTACCTCACAAGGTTCTTGTGAGAATAAAATGCAACTATGTAAGGGCCCCTGAGTTACTCACAAGAGTAAAAAAGGATGAACCTAAATGCAATGTAGTAATAATCTACCCTCCCCATTCTGTACTCCAAGTACTCAAGTTTGAGTTCTGGCTCCCCATTTACCCACTGCCTGTACTCCTGTTGCCAGAAAGTTTCACCCACCCTCTGTTGTGAGCTAGGTTTTGTTTCTCCCTTTGCACATTCAAAGCCACAGATCTTTCTTGCAAAATGTTCTTTATTGACCAAAGTGTTTTCCAGAAACCCGTACACTCAGAATGAATCTCTGAATACGCACAGAGCAGTTTTTTGAACTCAATCTAGTATTTCCTTCTTGAAACTCTCCTTATGTGTAAGTTTGGGCCTCATCCTTTGAAGAGGGCCTTTCTGGAAATGAACACACCTCCCCTCTGCACACCCATCCTCTAATTGGGCTGCCCTCCTCTGCCAATGTTGCATCATGACATTGAAAGCTGCACCCACCTTGTCTGTCCCTGAGATACCCTTCTGTTCTAAGTCTCCTCCCACCAACTGTACATCTTGGCTATTCACAGAGGCTGCCTGTGCACCTAGGGAGTTTGGCCTTGAGATTAAAGAGTCCGAGTCTCTCATATCAACATATGGAACTGGACCACATTCTGAGGCCCCTCCTGCTCTTCTTCTGTTTCTAAATTCCAATCAGCAGGCCTTGAGAATGCGTACCAAGAGCAACTGTCTTTCTCATTCCTAACACCCATCATTGCTCCTACTTCTGCTCTTCAGTTGCAGAGATGACTGCACATGACTGCTCACCATGCCCTCCCCCAGCAGGTTCTGGTCCCCAACATTCCAAGGAGCTTGAGTTCAGATTCTATGCTCACTTGCATCTCTGGCTCTTTCCCCACCACCCAAGGATCATATTTTGTTCATGCTGCCTACCCTACTCTCTACAGCTGGTGACCAAAAACATAAGTGTTTCCACCTAGTCTTTCTTCACCTGTAATGCCTCCCCACTTTATGTTTAACCTGGTTTCCAGCTCCAGTGATAACTGGTTCAGGGGATGTGTGGATGGGAGGGGGGGGAATATGCTGATGTGGCTCAGTACCAACAGCACCATTATCAGCCCCTGGTCCTGGAAGGTGGGGGTTGTCCTGAAGGAGCTGCCCTCCCATGATTTGCAAACAATGTGCAGCAAACGGCAATGACATCTAATGCAAAGTCTTCCTCCACATCCAGATGTGCGTAAAGGGTGTGCTACCATGTCTCCAAGTGACCAAAAGTGTTCTCAATGGGTAGCCTAGCATGGTTTTCTGGTTTTCTTTCCTTTCTACAAAGGTTTTCTGTTAGCAAGTCCACAGAGACTGAACCAGTCACAGCTGAAGCTCCAAAGCTTGGCTGCTGAGAATGAGAAGGCATGCAGGGAGTCTGTTTACCATGGAAGCTGGTGAAGAATGATCCAGTGAGCCAGTTTATCTGCTGGTGGCAAATTCCAGAACATAGCAGGATCATAGCTTCCCCCAGAAACACCACTGATAGGTCCATGTTATGTCAGTACAGTCCACAAGGCCCTGGAGCACAGTGCTATGAATAAAGCAGGTTGCTTACCTGTAACTGATGTTCTTCGAGTGGCCATCTGTGCAGTCACACATATGGGTGCTGCGCCTGCGCAGTGCCTTTGGCCAGAAGATTACAAGCTAATGGTTTATTTTGGCGGGAAAAAGCTCCGCTCCCCCTCCCCCACAGCCTATAAAGAGCAGAGCGTCCGCCATTTTGTTCAGTCTTTGATGACCGGACGCCCTCTTGTGGAAAAAATGACTTGTAAATGAGTTCTACCGTGAACAGTATCGGTACCAAGAGAACAATGAATATCGGTACCAAGAAACAATGATAACATTCAATAACGACAGAGGTCCACCCACTGACACCGAGCGGGGCCGGCGGGTGGGTTGTGTGACTGCACAGATGGCCACTCGAAGAACATCAGTTACAGATAAGCAACCTGCTTTTCTTCGTCGTGGCCTCTGTGCATCACACATATGGGTAGATTAACAAGCTTACCATAATGGAGGAGGGAAGGTGTCCTCAATGAAGAACAGATGAAAGAATGGCTCTGCCGAAGGAACAATCTTGTCAAGCGTGGACATCTAAGCGGTAATGTTTGGCAAAAGTGCAAGGATTCACCCAAGTAGCAGCTCTACATACATCGTCCATCGGTATTCCCGATGCGAAGGCCAATGAGGTAGCCACAACCCTAGTCGAATGGCCTCGAGGGGTAGTGGGCAAGTCGATATTGGCCAGTTGGTAAGACAGGGTGATGGTATGTACTATCCACTTAGAAAGTCTCTGCGGAGTAACAGGGGTACATTGGCCCCTGGTAGCATATTTAATGAAAAGTCTATGTGAATGTCAGATAGACTCAGTCCTGGATCTGCAGAATGCTAAACAGCGTCGAACGTCAAGTGAATGTAATGTCCTTTCTAACAGAATAGACGGAGCTGGAAAAAAGACAGGTAAAATAATATCTTGCCCCATGTGAAAGGGTGTGAATACCTTAGGCAGAAAAGATGGATCGAGCCGCAGGACAACCTTTTCTCTATGAAAATTGAGATAAGGTGGGTCTGCGCTTTGCTGGCCCTCCGGGCTGAGGTAACCGCAACTAGGAATGCTGTCTTCCATGAGACAAGACGTAAATCAACTGTGGCCAACGGTTCAAAAGGAGCTCTTGTAAGCACTTGCAGAACAACAGAGAGACTCCAGGTGAGCATTACTGGTCTGATCGACAGATTCAGATTATAAAGTCCCTTCAAAAACCTTTTAATAGTAGGTTGGGAGAAAATGGACGAACCGTCCACCATGCCCCAATGATAGGCGATGGCTTCAGTCCAGAGTGGTGTAATTCCAGGAGGAACTGAAGAATTTGAGGAACTGACGATGTGAATGGAGAGAATGAATGAGAGTCAGAAAAGGCGGAGAAACGCTTCCATTTAGCTTCGTAAGACCTCCGTGAAGAAGGCTTTAAAGCGGAGTCCAATATGTATTGAATGTCCGGATGAAAGGCTGTCGGATTCGATGGCACAGTAGTTGGATCCGACAGTGCTGGTGCAGTGCCGTCCCCAGCGGATTTGGAGGTTGCAACTCTATTGGGTTCGAAAGTAGAGTTCGAACCTTTTGAAGTAGTTGTCGGTGTAGACATAACAAGGACAGTAGTGGATTCGAAGGTCAGATTCGAACCCCTTGGAGTAGTGACTGGTAGAGACGTAGTGAAGTCAGCTATCGGATTCGCCACGCTGTTAGTTTTAATGATAACATATCTGGGTGACGAAGTGCGCTGTCTTTCTGGGTTATCAAGAACGGGAGCGGTGGAAGATGTAGGTATTTCCCGTGAGAAATGTCCAGCAGTGTGGGAAACCAAGGTTGGCGTGGCCACCAAGGAGTAATTAGTATCCCTGTGGCCCGATCGCAAACAATCTTTGCTATGACTCTCATCACCAGTGGAATCGGTGGGAAGGCGTAGAAATTCAGATTGTTCCATGGAATCATGAAGGCGTCCCCTAGGGATTCGTGTCCGATTCCCGCTCTCAAGCAGAAAGTCGCACACACCTTGTTCTGTTGTGTGGTGAACAAGTCCACGTCGGGGAACCCCCAGTGATGGAAAAGGTCGTTGCGTGTCTGGGGGTCCAGTTCCCATTCGTGAGAGATGAGCATGCGCCTGCTGAGAAGATCTGCTTCCATGTTGTCCGTACCAGCCAGATGGACTGCTATTATCGTAATATCTCTTGAAATGCACCAGTCCCAGATCTGCATAGAAAGTCTGGCCAG